ATGTTCTTTTCCATTATCCCCATATACATCTCTTGACTGTCAGGTCACATGTTCCCAATTCTGAGTTCAGATAATATAATCCACCAAACTACACTTTAGGAGGGTTTATGTCCCAGAGGGTGTCCTTAGAATTCCCACATACACAAGGGCACAACAATCACATTAACTCATCCCTGTCTAGAGGTCAAAAGCTAGAAGGGAGTCATGGAGCACCGTCATGGTGAAGAAGTTTTCTCTGGAAGTTTCCACACTACCAAAATGCTCCTTTCCTGTCTCTGCTGTCAGTTTAAGCTGGATGCTGCAAATACCCAGCTTTCCTGCTTGCTGTCTAGAGCCCCGGTGCTACCCAGTTGATGGCGTTCATCCTTCTAGATTATCTATTTTTCTTCAAAAAGTCAGCCAAGGTCTGTGATTTGTGTCATTCTGTTTGCAGGCCATCAGTCCTTCCCTCACAAAGAGTATTTTATCTCTTTCCTTTCAGTAGCCTGAATTCCTGAGAGGGAACAAGTTAGGGACAAGCCCACCACTCATGATTAATGTGAAATTTGGGTAAGTTCTTAGTCACTGTGAGCCCTTAGTGCTTTTGTCTTCTCCTTCCTCCTGCCCCTTCCCTTTTGTGCCTACGTATTGGTCTGAGTTTCTTCAGTTATAAAAATTACGTGTGATAAGTCTTGGCGCGTATTCTCTCTTTCTCCATTCCCCATATGTGTGTGTGTTTTCCTCTTCATGTTTGTGTGATTGTATATATTCACATACAGGCATACTTAGGTAATTGCCTTTGTCTGTAGTTTATGATTATATGTCTACTATATTTACAATTTTCAACTCATTGGAAGCAGACTATGAAATTATGTATGCTGACAATAAATGCGGGGAACAGAACAGAATTTCCCAATTTTGGTGTGTGTCTATGTTTAAAATATCAATTCTGTAACAAACAGATAAACATGATTTCTAACCATTCAACCTTGTAATAGGTTAAATGATAACAAACCATTCATTGATTTTTTTTTAAGAGTAATAAGCAGAAACATGTACCAACTGAAAGAGCCAGGCAATTCATTTATAATTAGGAAAACAAAAGTGATGAGCCTGAACAATGTTCTTTGGGATAAGTGTTGAAAATGCCAACTACATGACAATGCAGTGTTTGTTTTCTCATTATTAAAGGCACCAGCACTAATCACTTCATTTTTGTACTTTATTGGTCAGCTGGACATTCATAGCCATTCATGCATTTGTGTCCTTTCGCATGCCCACGTGCAGCCTTGCTTGTGCACACACTCCACTCGGAGGAAG